GGTGCGCCATGTCAAATTTAGGAAGAATTTATTTCCACTTTAGGGGAACTTTAAGTGCTGAGTGTGTGTACAGTTGCCGCCTTTGCGGACAATCACACGCAAGCATCATGAAGACAATCAGGCCACACATCTTGTGAAGCTGGCTGCGACAGTCGAGCAGGCGAGAGAAGGTCAACGCCTGAAAAGCAGGAATGCGGCTTTCACTTTCAGCACCATTTAGCGCTGTTGTCACAACATCCTCCCGCCCAAAAACAAGGCCAAAGAGTGGCGGATACGCACGCAAACTAAGTTTACCTTGACAAAGGCTGAATTATTTAAGGAATTCCAAACCTCGCATTGTGAAGGCCACGGCGGCTGATAGCGTTATCGGCCGCACGGATGTTCAGGGCTGGTCTAATTCCGATACAAACGTGACCAGAGCGACTGAAGACTCGACTTGGGCGGCCTCTCCAAACCTTGCTGCCACCTGTCGCTTACCTTTGGGTGATGACGTCATCAGGTCAAGGAAGAGATGAAAAGTAGGAAAGGGCAGCACTGATACAAATGAATTCGACTGACGGCGAGCTCTCTCCGCGCGAAGCTGGGCTAATGTTACTTCGAGAACCCATTTGACACACAGCCGCCGGGGGCAGTACATTTTCTTTTTCCAAACACACATTTCTTGTGTTGTCATCATTGAAATTATAAACTACAGATCTCTGTTTAAATATATGAACAGTCTGTCTCACTTATGTTGGATTGTGTCGGACGTCAGAGGTTGGAAGGTGGAAAACGGCTGAATGAGTGCAAATGGTAAAACAAGAAGGAAAAGAGGGAGAATCGGATGCGCACGAGCATTTGGTCAAAGTGTGGCCACGTTTTGACCCGTCTTGACGTGAATCAGCAAAGGGGAAAACACCAGCTTCAGAACGCAGCCCGACTCATTGTGGCCACCGCCACTTGGCAGCGAGTCGACGAGAGAAGAGGAAACATCCATCAGGCCTGCGAATCCCACCCTCCGCCCCCATGCTGACGCGTCCTCTTTGTTGCTTTTGGACCACTTGAAGCAAGAACACCCCGAAGAAGTGCACGTTTGACTTGATGCCATTGTGAAGCGAAGAATTCCGCCGCTTCGCCGAGCGTCCGCCCATGTCACGTGACCGACGGGATGGGAGAAGCAGGGGAGCAGACGTCAACGCGCGTGCAATCGGCAAGTTAAAACAAACAACCTGGAAGTTGTGATGAACTAACAGGAAGTTGATACACCGAAACATTCACACAGACCACCAGGAAGTTTACGCACAAACCATTTGAATAGAGCCTCTCCGAGTTCTCGTTTTATTTTTTATGTTTTTTGCCAAGGAAATTTCCTATCCCATCCAAGAAAGGCCATTCCAGAGTACTTGGAATGATCTACAAATGCTTAGAAAAGTTGCCGAAACTGTCAGTCAGGTAAGAGTTTTTTCCTCTTCACGCCCCCAAAAAAAACAAAAAAAAAAAAAAAAAAGAGAGAGAACATTGTCTGGAAAAAGGAAACCTTAAACGAATTAACCATAAGTCAGTAAGATGAACGTCATGGTGCAAATAGTATCTGCGACTTTTTCATTTCGCCGATCGAATGTAATATTTGGCAGATCAGGTCCAAAAACGCGAGACTTAGGTCAGCAACACTCGTCGCCGCGTGATGACGCAAGTCGGATTCATTTGAAACAGTACTGCCCTTTCCTACGTTGGAAAGGAAGCGCCTTTTCATCTCTCCTTGACGTGATGACGTCATCCAGCAAAGGTGAGGGACAGCTGGCAGCAAGCTTTGGCGAGCGCCCCCTCCCCCCCGAAATTCAACAACCGAGCAGGGAATTGAACAAAGAGGGACGTTGATACAAACTAACAGAAAGTGGAAACAAACGTGAGAAGTTTCCACAAAGTGACGGGACACAAACACACACGTCAAGTGACAACAAACCACCTGAAAGTTAACAGAAAGTTGACAAAACATAAATAACAAAGTCGCTGTGAATAAACACACTCTTGGTATATTGTAACGAGAAAAGTCGCCCTGAAGTGACAGGATGTTCATGCCCACAGAAGGCGAGACAAACTGCTGTGGCAAAGCTGGGGGTTGGGGGGGGGGGTATGTGACTCAACCACTAGCAGGGTTGAAACAAAATATGTGAAGTTGACGAAATCTAGCAGGAAGTTGAAAAATGCCAGATGTGAGGAAAAGTGATTTCTCCTCCGCGCTTGGGTCACGCTCGGGCTTGGCCCCCTGAAATAGTCTGGGAGAGTGCACTCATGGAAACGGGGCTGAGGGAGCGCGCGGGCGGCGTACACATCCAACACCAAACCCCCCGAGGGCTCGTCCCAGGCATGTGCTATAAATTTCCTGACCACATATTCCCAAGTCGAGTTCATTTTTCCAGAGGAGCCACACATGTGGTGCATATCTGGCTTGAGCTCATGGCTGGAGGACGACGGGGTGGCTGGGGTGGGG